TCTGTAACCCCCCCCCCCTCCGATCTCTGTGTCCGATGCTTAAACTTTGTCTCCCTGTGTTCCTCGTTGTCTTGATTATCCCTTCGACACCCCAGTCCGTTCTGAAACAGTCGAAGTATTAGACTTTTTTTTAAAAGAAGGGGGAAGGGTGATATTCTTCTATCTACAATAACAGAAAATAATAATATCTTCTTGTCTATAGTACATGCCTCAAGGATGGATGTGTGCCCGTGGTCGACCGTCCTTCATTCGGAATGTTTAAACATCTCTTCAGAAGCACTTCAGACTCTATAGCCGGCGGGCATTTGGTGCAGGAAGGAGCACGATTGTCCGACAGAAACAATAGCCGAAAAATGAGTGGGAAACTGATGAATGCGCTCTCATATATGACCTTGTGCCGCTGCGAGCGCCGTAAAACCCCATACTAAACTAAACTGGTGAAATGGTACAGGTTTAACTGTGTTTAACACCCGTATCAACACTGTTAGGTTATTAAAGAGGCGGGACCTCCAAGTTTAACGTCCATCTCCGATTGGACCAAGCCGAGTTGGGAAATTCGTCTTAAGTGCCTTGTCCCAAGGACACAACAACGTCGGACCGAGCTGAGGCTCGAACACCCGAACCCGCAATCTCACGGTTACGAGACCGGTAGCTTATCCACTAGGCTACCCATGTGAAAAGTAAAGAATTTAACGAGTTACCAAAAAGAAATTGGCAGGATGCTGCAACAGTAGACGTCCAGGACACTGGTGTCTTTGGTGTAGCGTTTTGGCGCTTCTCCGTCACACGCGGGAAACCCCAGTTCGATTCCCGAGTGGGGTGAATTTTGTTGTTGTTGAGTATTTCTGCTCTTTGTTAGGATGTTGTATCCCTTTGTCTCAGGCTGGACTGGCCCCGTCTGACATTATCGAAGCCCCTTTCCTAAACAATCTAAGTTGTGAAGATTGGGGTTGTAACAAACAGGTTAGTTTTAAAAAGACGTAGAATGTGACAGTGTCGTTCCACTGCCAACGACATTTCTAAGGCACTTAATTTTCGGTAGCTTGCTTCAATTTGTTTGTCTGTCTGTAGTAGTTGTAAAATAATAAATATGTTAATAATTAATTATTATTATAATAAAAACAATAAATATCAATAATAATAATAATAATAATAATAATAATAAATGATGATAATGATAGTAGTAAGATAATAATAATGGTAATAATAATGATTATAATATTATGCTTGCTCTCCCGCGCCCATATGTGGAATGTAGGCTCTGTACTCCTATGTGTGTTTGTGTGTGCGCGTGCTTATCTACTTTTTGGTGATAGTGCCCTTAACCTTTCTCTATTGTTTGGCCTCGTCGTTATCTCTCGTAGTGTGAGAATGTGACACACACACACACACACACACACACACACACACACACACACTCTCTCTCTCTCTCTCTCTCTCTCTCTCTCTCTCTCTCTCTCTCTCTCTCACTTCTTCTTGCTCTGTTGCAATACTTGATAATTAATTTTGTTCAAATTACGTTTTACGTTTGAGCCTGTCTGTTTCAAAGCCAGTGTACCTGTGGTCGGCAGACTGCCCACAGGAGACGACAACCTTCCTAATCCGCTCTGCGGGAGTGAGAATATCTGGCCCAAAGACCATGGTAGGTGCCCAAAACATGGGGAGCCTGTGGAGGGTCCACACTGTCAACAACGAGAGTAGGGCTGCTCTCCTTGCCTCTGGAATCACGATCAGAGGTAAACACATTGATTTATTTGCGAACAACCCTTTCTCCATCAGAGGGCCGGATGGCAAAGAGATACAATCAACCAAGCTGACTGTGGACAATGTACCAATCAGTGACAGCAACGAAGACATTAACAAAATTCTTGAGGCGATTGACGTCGTCCCTCGCTCCAAGATTTTAATTGAGTTTTGCCGTGACCCAGATGGGAAGCTGACCAACTGGGTAACGGGAAGACGCTTTCTATACATTGATCTCCCGGACAAAACCTTTACCAGAATGGCGGAAATGGGCCCCTTCAGGGCTCGCCTCTTTTATAGAGAGATGAGGGAAGCACTACGAAAACGTTTACAATAAAGTTGACAGTCGTAATAAATCGTTTGATTTTGTTTCAGAATGTATTGATATTACTTGTGGTGAATTTGCTGATTACTCTTTATGAAGAGGCAATCCTGTAATTCCCTGGTCCTCTAGGCATGGTTTTTCAGGCTTTTTACATGCTCCTACGACCACAGAAGTGCCTCGGTACCGGTTGCGAACGACGATAGCGATAACTTGTAACCTACAAGTTAGTCTGCTTTGACTATGAAAGTTAATTTTTACGAAGATTATTGGCCACATTCCTTTCACTGTTTTGAAAATATGATAGCATAGACGTAGGGTAACAAACACACTAACAATGTCATCACTTAGAAGC